CTAACAATAATAATCCTTGTATTTGATATCCTGTCTTATCACATCTTTGAGACATCTCAAAGCACTTCACAGAATATACTGTAAAGTATAGTGACTGTATATTTTGTGAGTGAAACGCAGCAATCGATTGCGCACAGCGGGTATCCCATGAACAGTGACCACATTTTTTAAGGGATTCTTACTCCCAGAAAAGTGATCCGCCAATCGACTAACAAACGGGTTCTTATTTACTGATAGGTAAACAGAGGCGTGTAGAGTAAGAAACTTGGCTAACAATTCACCCTGCCTAGGAATCAAACCCAGATCTCGCTTGAGAGACGAGTGCTCTAACCACTGAGCTACAGGACTCCACTGATCTAACTATCCTGACGACTCTGTGTGTGAAAAATGGTGCACTTACTATTGAATCCTTGCTTCTTTCAGCCAAAATAATGGCATATTGCTTTTGGCATGAAGTCCGACCTGTACATACTTAGCGCTGTTAACTGGTCATTTCAGAATCTGCTTCCCGTCGTAGTCTTGACAGAATTTAAGACGTTCTGAGCTCGGTTGCTTTGCTTTGTGCTCTGTTGACTGTACCTTCACATTTTACACATTCAAATATTTCTGTGAAATTTTACCAGATTCCTTTCCAACTGGATGCCACAATTTTTTAAAAAAAGAGAGGTAATGGCAAACCTGGCAGATATCAGCGATTCTGGGCTGTTTTGATGTTAGAGTTGTGCATCGGTTTGATTGAAAGACGAAGATATGGGCTCTCCTGCTCCTAAGCAATATTGTGTGTATATCAGTGGCTGGGGAGACATTAACACACAAGGTCATGTGTGTTTTACTGAATAACTGTTGAATCCGTTTAAATCGGATTATTCATTTTGGCTTTGAGCTATTTCAACATTATCAGATATTGCTGAAGTAAGTAAAGTTGGGGGGAAATTCAAACAACAACAACAAATTTATATATAGTGCTTTTCACGTCGGGAGGAAGGCCCAAGGCAGAGGGTTGGACAGTCAAGGGTTGGCAATGAGCTCGGGGATGGGATCAACAGGGGAGGAGTCAAGGGGGTGGGAGGATGACTGAAGACACAGTCAAAGAGTGAAATTCCACAAGCACAGTCTTCATTTCAAAGCGTCCAAAAGGAGAGGGCATAAATATAAGATAGCCAACCACAGGTCTTAAAGGGAGTTTAGGAGGAACTTCTTAACGCAGAGGGTGGTGAAAATGTGCAACTCACTGCCGGAAACTGTGGTTAAAGCAAAAGCATCAATGTTTTTAAGAGGAAACTTCATACGCACATGAAGGAGAAGGGAATAGATGGGTGTAGGTGAGGGGATTCAGAGGGATGGGCCAGGGGATGGAGTATATACACCAGCACGGGCTAGTTGGACTAATATCTTGTTTTTGTGCAGTTTTCTTCTGAGCGATTCTATGTAAGTTGTCCCAACTGCAGAAAGCTGGCTTACAAATTGATTTGAAGACATTTTGCAAATACCGCATGATCTTAAATTTTAATGCTCTCATTATGCGGTATTTTGAGCATCAGTTTTAAACATTTCTTTTTAACTTTACAAACCACATCTATTCTGTGAAGAATCACATAAATAAGCAGGTTTGGGGGAAGGAAGTGGGGAGTTCTTTGACAATCGACAATGGAACTAGACTTTATAAATTAATAACGTGAAGTGACCCTTTTTTGCTTATGTTATGTTCTTATTGGTTATAAGATGTTTTAAACAAGACTGATACCTACACTTGTAATCTAACCAAGTTTCTCTGTTTGACTAAAATACTTTGACATGTACAAGTACTAGCCATGTCTGGACACCAGAGACTTGAAACTGGGTTATCCTTCAGTTCTGGTTCCAACTTTGCTGTGTGATGCTGTGAGGTGGTGCACCTCATTACTGATGATCAGGGGGCTCCAAGCTCCACTTATGTTTTATTTAGCTGGTTAGTCTTGAAGTATCCCAAAGTACAGAGAGCCGGAGAAGTGCTGGAGTGGCAATTAATTTTGAATTGAGAAAACTTGTCCTATGTATTTTGTCCGTTATATAAAAAGTTTTTTTTCCTCATGGCTGGTACAGTGTAGAAGTGTAAAGTATAGCATTGCTGAGTTGCTGTGATCTGGCCCTGCCTCGAATGGGCCATTTGAAGGCGCAAAATGTAACCTACTTCATTACATTAACTCTTGCAGAGCTGCAGGATGTTGTCTGCAGTTACAGCCAACACAGAGTTTTTCCTGCAGTTACAGATCACACAGAGCATTGGACTGCAGCTTCTATTGTCAGCTGGCTCAGTTGGTAGCACTCTTGCTTCTGAGTCAGAAGGTTGTGGGTTCAAGCCCTACGTCAGGCCGTTGAGCTCATAGTCTAAACTGAAGCTCCAATGCAGTGCTGATGGAGCAATGCATTGTGCGGGTACGATCCTTCAGGTGAGATGTTAAACCAAGATCCCATGGCACAACCATGGCACAATTCGAAAAGAGACAGGAGTTTCTCCTGGTGTCTTGGCCAAGAATCCCCCAAATAAAATTGGTCACGAATGTTTGTGGGACATTGTTGTGCACAAATTAGCTGCCACACTCACCTGCAAGATACAGTCATTTAACAGCCGTATCAAATGCAAAGGTTATTATTAAAACCCTGTAAAGTGCTTTGAGACATCGTACCAATGTGAAAGTCGCTATATCAAATGTAAATAATTATTTATTTATCTATTGAATACAATTTCAATTTTTATTACACTTTTCACAACGTGTCAAAGCCCTTCACACACACATGCTCCTAATTTGCTGCGGGAATTCAGTTAAATGTACTGTGCTGCTAACCTTGAAAATATGACCCCAACTGTCAGCTAAAGATTTGTGGTTTGTCAAATTATCTTTGAAATCAACAAATCATTGAGTGCCTACAATAAAGCTGACAATGGGATTTTTCTATAAGTTTAAATGATGTTGTGACGAGAGGTGTTTTACAGATATCTGTCAAATAACATCCTGGTTCACAAGTCTGTACCAGTTAAAGAAATACTGTTCAATGTGGTAAAAGTAAAGGATTGTAGTGAATGAATGCTGTCCTTTTAACCCAGTGTTCTGTTTATTGTGTTGCTTTTATTTCATCCCTTCACCTGCTGTTCTCTAGCTGAGCAGAACTGCTGGTGTCTGTTTTTCAAAAGCTCTGTCATTGACTGTGAGGAGACTCTCTCTGTCACTGGCTGTAAGGATGCTCTCCCCGTCACTGACTGAGAACCTTATTAAGGTTGATTTTTGTGCAATCTCTCACCATGGTGAAACATTTTCAATGCTTGGAGTGTGTGCTTTCTAAGCACATTGAGACGCTACCCTACTTGGGCGGCAAGACGCTACCCTGCTTGGGCGGCAAGAACTTTATAATAATAATCATTGCATTTGATATGGCGCTTTATTATGTCGTTGAAACATCTCTAAAGCGCTTCACAGAATATACTGTAAAGTGGATTGTCTGTGTATTTTGGGTGAAAGGTGGCAGCCAGTTATGCATAGCAGTGCCCCACAAACATCCATGGAGTGAGTGACCAATTTTATTTGGAGAATTGCAGGCCAGGACAGCGGGAGAAATTTCCAGTTGAATAGTGCCGTGCGATCTGTAACGTCCACCTGAACAGGCACATGGGACCTCGGTTTAACGTCTTGTCTGACAATGTCAGTCCCCCCCAAGACTGCATTGGAGCGTCAGCTTAGACTATGTGATTCCAAGTCCCAACGTGGGGCTTGGACTCACAACCTTCAGACTCAGAGGCGACAGTGCCTACCACTGCGCTGTGCCCAGATTGGGGGGCGCGGGAGTTAGCATTTGATTTTTGTACACAACTAACGCAGGAACATGGCTTCAGCTGTGGAAAGAAAGTATGTGAGGTGTCAGCGGTAGGACTTTCACTAAATAGCTGATGAGATGCGCTTGACAGTGGTTGACTGTCAAATATGCACTTCAGGGAGAAGCCAGTAAACCTTTCCTTACCCTCCTCCTCTTCCTCCTCCTCTCAGAACTGACATGACATCCCTCACAGTTCAGTGTTTCAGAACTTTCATGTTCCCTGCACAAGTGTAGGAAGCAGGTGTTTCTGTAATGAGACAGCTGTTGAATAACAGTGATCAGTCACTGATAGATTTGTGGCTTCACAGCTCAGTTATGACATGTCTATTGTTGAGAGCTGTCCCAGTGCCTCAGCGTGCAGAGAAGCTGAATAAGGTCCTACGTTCGATCTTGGATCTGTGCTCAGTTTGCTGATACCAGGTGAGCAAGAATGCTACAGTTGGTCTCGGTATCTCATGCCAGAGCCCTTGGATGTGCTGGAGCCCATGGTGTGCTAAGCGCTTCGGGACGCTTGAAGCCCGTGTGAAGGCGCTATATAAATGCAAGTTGTTGTTGGGTGTGCCTCTCCCACCACCCCCCCACCACACCCCCGTGTGTACGCCAAAGCTCGCTGGACAATCTGCAGACGGACATTCCATTGCAGAGACATAGAATATTTGGAGTGGAGTGGAGTCCTGTAGCTCAGTGGTTAGAGCACTCGCTTTACAAGTGAGAGACCTGAGTTCAAATCCAGGCAGGGCGAAACCTTGGGCAAGATTGCTTACTCCACACACCTAATAATAATCCCTCCAAAAAACCAAAACAATAATAAATTGGTCATTTTCAATCTATGACTGTTTGTGGGACATTGCTGTGCGCAATTGGCTGCCGCGTTCACCCACAAATATGCAGTCAATTCACTTTACAGTATATTCTGTGAAGCGCTTTGGGATGTCTCGAAGACCTGAAAAGCGCTCTATCAAATGCAAGGATTATTATTATTATTACATTTGCAGGTCGCAGGCATATGTGAAACTCTCAATCTGGTTTGGGTACGATTAAGCACACAATATGATTCCGCGTGTGTCAGACACTCGGCTAACCCCCCCCCACAAAAACGTTACGAATGTTTTTATTTGTATTAAGAGGCTGGTGTGTGTGTGTTTTTTTAGGCAACCAGGGCAACAATAACTCGGCACTGTATCGACCTGGGGGAGTGCTTGAACAAAGAGAACGATGTTGCCCTGATCGTTGATGGCCACACCCTGAAGTATGCACTGTCGTTTGAAGTTCGCCAGTCATTCTTGGATTTAGCTCTGTCTTGCAAAGCTGTCATCTGCTGCAGGTAAGAAGCCCGGTGATTATTTCTTAATGGATTTCTTAATTGAAGAAGTCGTGGAGTCCTCCATCCATGAGGAGCAGGGCATGACAGTAGTCGGGTCTAGAGGTGATGAAGGTGTGGATGTGGATCTCGATGGCCTGGTGGCAGCTCAAATAGTGGAGCTGGGAAAACTAGTGAGAGCCTGAATGTAAGGTTTGACAACAGCGACACAACATCTTGCGTTTATCTAGTGCCCTTTACTCGGTTAGCATCTCGGAGTCACTCAGAATACATGGGGGGGTGGTTAAACAAGACATTCAGGTCCTGCACCAGCTCAGTGAGGTGGAGTGAGAACCCAAGCAGATTGATCTGCTCGATGCCTGAGGTGTGAGCCCCCTCACAATATATCATTGAGTTCCTTGGGGGAAATCGTTCCTCACACCCCCAACAGGAAAATTTGATAAACTTTACTTCATGATGACAGATAACTAAGGTAAACCAATTGTGTTTTTACTATTACTAATTTAACACCAATGCTATTAGCACTCACACTAATAATGTGTCTGATTGGCTCAGCTGGTAGCACTCTTACCTCTGGGTCAGAAGGTTGTGGGTTCAAGTCCACCTGCAACTTTGAATTCATTGTCTGGGCTGAAACTCCAATGCAGGAGTGCACTGCATTGTAGGAGATGCTACCCTTCAGATGAGAAGTTAAATCGAGGTCCTGTCTGCCTGTTTAGGTGACTTTAAAGGCCCAAAGGCACTATTTGGCACTATTTGGAGTCCTGTAGCTCAGTGATTAGAGCACTCGCTTTGCAAGCGAGAGACCTGAGTTCAATTCCAGGCAGAGGGCGAAACCTTGGGCAAGTTTCCTTACTCCACACAGAGCCTAATAATAATCCCTCCAAAACCAAAAACAATAATAAATTGGTCATTTTCAATCTACGACTGTTTGTGGGACATTGCTGTGCGCAATTGGCTGCCGCGTTCGCCCACAAATGTACAGTCAATTCACTTTACAGTGTGTTCTGTGAAGCACTTTGGGACGTCTCGAAGACGTGAAAAGTGCTATATCAAATGCAAGGATTATTATTATTATTTGAAAAGAGAAGGAAGTTTTTCCTGGCGCCAATCAAACAGTCCCCCATATATATAATATATATATAAAAAAAGTAATTCACTTTATGACTGTTTGTGTGACATCGCTCAGCAGAAGTGAGAGTGCTGTTAACTGAGTCAAGCGAGTTAGTCTGTTAGTCATTTTATCACCCTTTAAAGGGTGAAGAGTGAAAGAACCCAGCTGGATTAGAACCTTCATAATGTACAGGATTAAGTCAATATTACCATCAGATGAGACATTAACATTACTGCCATCGTTTTATATCCTGGTGTTAAACTTTTGGCTGTTTGCCTACAAAAACAGTCACTACATTTGATTGCACTGTACTTGTGCAGTGCTTTGATACAATTTGGCATGGATGAGACTCAATACATTAATGGGGAGTCTCTTGGCATTTCTCTAAATAATTGGGATTAGTTTGGCTTCTATTGTGCCTGCAGACTTAACACCTTATTCACGTAATAGGAGAGAACTTAAGTTGCTGGCATTCACATGCAATTGCTAAATATCCTACTGTGCTCACATACTTCTAAACATACCATGAAGGACCTTTTTAATTACAATAGTTTGCAAATACCTTTCCACTGACTCACGGACTTGATCCCATCTGACGGTGGTAGCACTGTACGTACTGTTGTACAATGTTTTCTTACTATGAACACCTGCATTAATTGCACTGTTAAGGGATGTTATGATACCTTTCCGACTGCTTTTTGTTCAATGTTCCACCCTTTCCCTGCTCCTTTTCTAAAGCTTTGAGATGTTCGTTCATTGTGAAAGGTGCTACATCTAAATCCAATTTGACACCAGTGCATTGCTGCATTGTCAGAGCTGATGTCTTTCAGAGATGTTAAACCAAGATCTGTTACTCTGCTTGTTATTCAAGTGAACGATAAAAAATCTCATGACACTATTTGAAAAGAGAAGGGAGTTTCTCCTCGTGGCTTGTCCTACAGTCCTTCAGCTTTTACACCTCTCTTTGCGACTGCCAGTCCCCTGATATTCTGTCAGCCTGTCTGTCAGACCTCAGGGGCTGGATGAGTGCAAATTTCCTTCAGCTGAATGTTGACAAGACGGAAGCCATACTCTTTGGCTCTCATCAACATCTAAAATCTCACGGCTCTCACCTCCTCCACCTACCCGACCTGCCTCTAAAACTCTCCGAACCCGTACGCAACCTAGGCATCAGGTTCGACCCCCAATTATTCTTCCTCCCCCTCATCCGGTCGCTCACCAGCACCGCTTTCTTCCACCTCTGACGCATCGCCTGTCTCCGCCAATACCTCTCCCCAAAAGCCGCTGAAACCCTGGTCCATGCCTTTATCACCTCTCAGCTGGACTACTCCAACGCCCTCCTTACCAGCGTGGAGGGCACTATATAAATTCAAGTTGTTATTATTACTTGGTCATTTACTGCTATTTGTGTGCAAAAACAGTCACTGCACTTGACAATAACTATTACCAAACAAGTCTGCAATGTCATATCCACAATTGTAGGTTGTAATGATTGACAATAGTCAGCTCTTTCTAGGCTCAATAAGAGATTCAATTTCAGTGCTTAATACAGGGAAACCCTGTTATAATGGCATCTCGCCTATAATTTGGGTTCGCTTGTGTGTCAGCCTGGTGCAGTTGGTAGGAGTTTCACTCTGAGTCAGAAGGTTGTGGGTTGAAGCCCCACATCGGGACTTGGAATAATAAAAAAAACTTTGCATTTGATAAAGCGCCTTATCACATCTTTGAGACAGAATGTACTGTACAGTGTCTTGACTATATATTTTGTGGGTGAAATAATTATCTAAGGAGGCAGCCCGGCTTCAGTTTTATTGTGCTAAAACTTAAAGTAGTGCTGGCAGATAAACGTGAGGAGCCCTTATCATGTAGTCCAAGCTGACACTCCAATGCAGTGATGGTCTGTTGCGTTTTCGAAGGTGCCGTCTTTCCGATGAGACATTAAACAGGTGGATGCTAAAGATCCCATAACACTATTGGAAAAGAGCAGGGAGTTTCTCCCAGTCCTGGCCAACAAATCGCCAAATAAAATTGGTTGCTTACTTCATGGCTGTTTGTGGGTCATTGCTATGCGCAAACTGACTGCCCTGTTTCACCACAAAATGCACAGTCAAAACCACAATATCCCATGAACCGCTTTGAGATATCTCGATGATGTGATAAGGCACTATAACAACTGCAAGGATTATTATTATTATAACTCAATAGGACTGTGGTGAGAAGAGAATTGAGCCAAACTGTACTGAGAGGTTAGGTTAGAGGTTAATGCTGAACAAAGTTCTTTTAATCAACTAAGTCTATTTATGGATGGAAATATTATCCAATAACTTGCATGTGGTCCACTGCTGATATTGTGCAGATGAAAGAGAGATGTGTAGGTATGTTGAACAGATTAATGAATATCCCAGGCTACAGCTCAAAACAAGCAGGCTTGAGTTGTTTATGTAACACAGTGAAGATGTTCTCACTGCTTCAGTTTACCTGGACTCTTTCCCTTCCACTTCTTCCACTGATAATAATCCTTGCATTTGATATAGCTCCTTATCATGTTTTTTGGTTGTCTCAAAGCACTTCACAGAATATACTGTAAAGTGAATTGACTGTATATTTTGTGGACGAAACACGGCAGCCATTTGTGCACAGCAGCGTCCCACAAACAGTCATGGATTGAGGGGCAAAATTATTTTTATTTATTTTGAAGGAATTATTACCCCCGGAAAAGCAATCCGCCAATCGACTAACATCCGGGTTTCTACTTACTGCTAGGTAAACAGAGGCATGTTGAGTAAGGAAACTTGCCCAACGTTTTGGCCTGCTGGGAATTGAACCCAAGTCCTCTCGCTTGCGAGGCGAGTGCTCTAACCACTAAGCTATCTTCTTATCCCTCTGCTCAGTGAACACTGGCCTGAAACATGACTCCGGCCCCACCCACCCCTCATCATCGGTGAATATGTTTTCAGCCATTTTGCTCCTATTTTCTGGAATTTTCTCTCCTTCCTGGCCTTCCCTCTACCTCGCCCCCTCCCTACTCGTAAGACCTATCTCTTTGAATGTATTTCAGTCAACCTTTCGCTAACCCCTCAAGCTCAGGTTCCCAGTGAGCTGTGCGAAGAGCTTTGAGACATCTTGCCAACATGGTGGAGTATAAATTTGTCTCGCTCCCTCCCTTCCCATTTTCAGGTCTCTGCTGAAGACCTTTCTTTTCGACCGCGCCCTTGGTCACCTTCTTCCCCCTGTCTCGGTCCCGGGATCCGTTACTGTAATGCGCTCTGAGACGCCGTCCGGCATGGAGGGCGCTATATAAATCCAAGTTGTTGTTGTAAATATTAATTGTTCTTGTTGTTCTTCTCCCCTCTTGTACATCAAGTCACTTTCTAAACTGCATTGAAAAATCCAAATGGGTTTTGTCTTTTGTCAAATACTTTGTTGATTTGAGTTCTGCTTTTGTATTGTGCAGGAAAGTTTCTTTTTGTTAATCTACTGAGGAAAGCACAGAAACTGGGATGTGGATAGGAATCCCAGGAATGTGCGCTGTGTAAATGAGGAGGGTGCTGTGTAAATGAGGCGGGTGCTGTGTCAATGAGGAGGGTGCTGTGTAAACAGGGAGCGTGTGCTACAGAAACAGGACTGTGCCCTTTTAATGTCTTCTCTGCCATCCACCCCTCCTGATCCCAACCCCCAGTTCTGTGCAGCACCGTGGGACGTCCTCCTGACGTGAAAGGCTCAATACAAATGTAATTTGTTGTTGTTGTACTGCAGACTTGCTTTTAGTGGGAGCTGCTGAGGTTTGGTTACAATTTGCCTGTGTAAAATGTTGATCTTGAGCAGGTTGATCTGAGCAGCTTTCCTCGAGTTCTTCAACATTAACAAAACACAGGTGGTTCCAATCAGA